TTGATTGTTTTTTTGAGATCTCAGATCTGGTCTCATCCCCATTAGGGCAAAGGGCAAAGTCCCAAATGTGGAGACCTCCTCACTTCTTGATGCTATTGGTCAGGAGAAGGTGAGTGTCCTGCTTCTCATCCAATAGGAGGGCAGCCCCGAGGTAGCCAATCCGCTTCTCATGGAATCGGGTGGAGGCGATCAGTTTCAGGCATTCCATCTGGGTTGTGACAGGAAGAAGAGGACTTAACGTCTTTTTCCCACAATGCTTTGCAGTGGCGCTTGGTGAGGGGCATGATGGGAAATCAAAATGGCGGTTTCCACATACTGCTAGGGAAGAGCGATATTTTTATTGCTACCCTGCTCAAAACCAAAATGGTTTTGTGCTATAGAATAGAATAGAATAGAATAGAATAGAATAGAATAGAATAGAATAGAATAGAATAGAAATATGGAATAGAAATATATGAAATATGGAATAGAATAGAATAGAATAGAATGGAATGGAATGGAATGGAATGGAATGGAATAGAATAGAATAGAATAGAATAGAATAACAGCATTGGAAGGGACCTTGGAGGTCATCTAGTCCAACCCCCTGCTCAGGCAGGAAATCCTATACCATTTCAGACAAATGGTTGTCCAATCTCTTCTTAAAAACTTCCAATGTTGGAGCACTCACAACTTCTGAGAGCAAATTGTTCCACAGGAACAACTAATAACGGAGTCAGCTGCACATTTAAGGCATGCATTTAATACACTTATAAATTTGCTGAATTTACTGAATTCTCACAAAATTACAGGTAGTCCTCAACTTACGTCTGCAACTGAACCCAACATTTCTGTTGCTAAGCGAGACGGCTGTGCAGTGAGTTTTGCCCCATTTTAAGACCTTTCTCGCCACTGTTGTTAAATGAATCGCGGCAGCTGTTAACTTAGTCACCCGGTTGTTAAGTGGAATCTGGCTTCCCCCATTGACTTTGCTAGTCAGAAGGTCGCAAAAGGGGATCATGTGACCCCCCTGGGACACTGCAACTGTCATAAATGTGAGTCAGTTGCCAAGCATATGAATTTTGATCGCGTGATCAGGAGGATATTGCAACGGTCGTCAAGTGTGAAAAATGGGGATGAGAGACACTTTTTCCCAGCACTGTTGTAAGTTCAGTCATTAAATAAATCGTTGTAAGTAGAGGACTAGCTGTACATACCTGTCCGAAGTGGGCAGGATACCCCAACATATGGATGTACAGCAACTTTGCCAAATTGGTGGCCCGGTTCTCTGGTTCATCGTCCCGAAAAGCACCCCTAATTTTGGCACTTTCTCGCTGCACCAATTCCCGTTCTTCCGCCTGCGTCTGGGCACTCCGGATGGTCCGGATCAGAACCGATAAGGTGAGCGGTCCCTCTGGCATCCTGGATGAGAGAGAAACGTGTCAACGGGTAACCGTTCGTCAGGATTCGCCGGAAATTTCCCTTTTCCTGCCTTCTTGGCACAGCGTGTATTTTTCTTGCGATTCCCCGCCAAAAACGCAAGTTTAGAACTCAGGACACAAGACCTTACCCATCGTTCTCAGGTGCACCGGAGTTACGAACTGCAGAATGTTTAGCCGCTTCGTTAGAGATTTGGGGAGTCACAAAACTTTTAGTCTGAACTTTCGGCGCGACTTCTCTTCGGGACACCGAACCTGGTTCAGATTAACCTGGTTTAAGGTTTAGCTAATTGTCTGAACCCAGCTTGGGTTTGCTGCTTCGTGATTTGCCTTAATGCAGCAAATGGGGCTGATTACTTAAAAGTAAATATATTAATTGAGCGTGTCACACTTCCTGGGAAGCCCAACCCTTTAAAAAAAACAAAAAAACAGAGGTATCCAGCTGGCTGAGGAATTCTGGGAATTGAGATCCACCCGTCTTAAAGTCGCCACGTTTGCTCTAAATCATGGCTGCCAATTAACGATCGTTAAAGAAAAACGTTAAAGAAGAATTTAAAAAAGGTGGTTTAGGACAGGGGTAGGCCACCTTGGCTCTTTTATGACTCGTGGACTTCAACTCCCAGAATTCCTGAGCCAGCCACGCTGAGGGGAAAGGGAGAGGTTTCCAAACTGAGCCATGCTGGCTCAGGAATTCTGGGAGTTGAAGTCCACGAGTCATAAAAGAGCCAAGGTTGCCTACCCCTGCTCTAAACTAATAAAGTCTACATTAATTAACATTAATTATGCTTTCATATGTTCCTCTAACTGAGGGGTCTTCAAACTTGGCTCTTTTATGACTCGTGGACTTCAACTCCCAGAATTCCTGAGCCAGCCACGCTGAGGGGAAAGGGAGAGGTTTCCAAGCTGAGCCATGCTGGCTCAGGAATTCTGGGAGTTGAAGTCCACGCGTCATAAAAGAGCCAAGGTTGCCTACCCCTGGTTTAGGATAATATCTTTGATTCCTTCGCGTAGGCGGTAACCTCGCCAAGCTCGACCGGGACAGCTGAATTGGGGTGCCTTTAAATGGAAACAAAATGCTAATTATTATTATTTTAACCACCCACCCCCCCAAGCAAACAAGGTGGCACATATTTTGCTGCTTAGTTTGTGGGTTTTGCATCTTCTCCCACCTGAAAAAAATTCCACTTTTGCCCACAGATCTCTTGGCTCGGTTTTACTTATTGTTCCAGGCAAACCGGAAGATTTTCTTTAGCACTGGCATCAGAAATTATCGTTGCTTTGTGAAACCTTAAACTGCTTGATCGCCTCCGGTTTCAAAGTCTGCTTCTTGAACAGTCACCCCATTCAAACATTCCTCGCAACGCACCTGAGGCCTCCACCACCCAGCTTTAAATTCACTAGGATTCTTCTTCTCGTTTTTTTTTTGTCCCGATTGAAAAAGGGCCATTGCAAAATTAATTTGCAAATTGGATTGATTAGACCACTGAACATTCTAGTTACTTGAAACTTTTTTTCTTTCTTTCTTTCTTTCTTTCTTTCTTTCTTTCTTTCTTTCTTTCTTTCTTTCTTTCTTTCCTTTCTTTCCTTTCTTTCTTTCTTTCTTTCTATTCCTTCCTTCCTTCCTTCCTTCCTTCCTCTTTCTTTCTTTCTTTCTTTCTTTCTTTCTTTCTTTCTTTCTTTCTTTCTTTCTTTCTTTCTTTCTTTCTCTCTCTCTCTCTCTCTCTCTCTTTCTCTCTCTCTCTCTCTCTTTTTCTCTCTTTTAATTACTTCCTATTATCCTGCAAATGTTCTTTCACCTGTCCAGAGAAACTCCTTGGCCTTCTTCCGTTCCCGGGAAAGTGAAAATCAGCAGCTGGAATCCTTCTCTATCTGCCTCTCCTTCAGATCCCAGTTTCTTGCAGTTCCGGACAGGTAACCCGACAGGTGAGCTCACCTGAGTTTGGGGAGGCAGCTTGGCCCTAGGCGCCCTCTGTTGGACACATGATGCATGACACGCAAGGGAGGGGCTGGCCGGAAGTCCCTTCTGCCTTTCAAGACATGTTTCTCGTCCTCAGCAACTCGAAGACGGGTGGACTTCAACTCCCAGGATTCCCCAGCCAACTGGGGAATTCTGGGATTTGAAGTCCACCCGTCTTCAAGTTGCCAAGTTTGAAAAACACTGCTTTAAAGTCGTTCCGAACACAACAGAAGTGTGGCCTAGCATGGGAAGGAAGACGGGGGCCTTGCCAGCCATATCTGATCTTCTGTAGCAAAGAAAATGGGTAAATATCCATTCATTAACTAAAGACAACTGGGTTAGCGATAGATTATTCTGGAGAAAACATATGTGGCTTTTGGGCACATAAGTCATCAATCAATTATTATCTATGCCGGAGTCTGGCTCCCAGCTCTCCCTTGCCACAGGTGGGGGATGAAATTTTGGTGGTGGTTAAGCAAAATAAGGATAATTACATTGATGATGTTCCCCAGTTGGGTAATGAAACGTCTGCAAGAAAACAGCCAAGCTCATTGAGCAGCGAGGACCCCTCAGTCATAATGCTTTATATATGGTCATCCATCTCGCTTTATATCGCTCTAGCTGCCTTATAATCTGTGGTATAAACAAGGGGAATGTTTAAGTATCCGGTATGTGGGGGTTAAATTACAGTTTGGTCTGGCCAAGCAAAATTATATTAATTGGCTGGCTGGCTGGCTCTCTGTCTATCTGTGTATACAAATCTATCAACCTAAATTTATCTATCTGTCTATTATCTATTCTATCTATCTATCTATCTATCTATCTATCTATCTATCTATCTATCTATCTATCTATCTATCATCTATCTATCTATCTATCTATCTATCTATCTATCTATCTATCTCTATCATCCATCTATATCTATATATCTATAATCTGTGTATCTGTGTATCTGTATCTCTGTCTGTCTGTCTGTCTATCTATCTATCTGCCTATCTATCATCTATTATCCATTTCTATCTATATCTCTGTGTATCTGTGTATCTTTATCTGTCTGTCTGTCTGTCTAATCTATGTCATGCATCTATCATCTATCATCATCATCATCATCATCTCTCTCTCTCTCTCTCTCTCTCTCTCTCTCTCTCTCTTTCCCTCCCCCCCCTCTCTCCAAATCTATCAATTTAAATCCATCCATCTATCCATCTCTCTGTTGGTCTTTGTCTATACAAATCTATCTTGGCGGCCTCCAAAATTTTCTTGGACTGCAGAACCTATCATCCTTAGCAGAACCTTAGCAGAACCATTGGGGCTGAGAGTAAAGGTAGTCTTCAACCTACGATCACAACTGAGCCCAAAATTTTTGTTGTTAAGCGAGACATTTGTTAAGTGAGTCTTGTGCCCCATTTTACAACCTTCCCTGCCACGGTTGCGAAGCGAATTACTTCGTTTGATCAGTTAGTCACCCCGTTGTTAAGTGAATCTGGCTTCCTCACTGACTTTGCTTGCCAGAAGGTTGCCCAAGGGGACCACGTGACTCTGGGACACGGCAACCGTCATAAGTCTGAACCGTATTGACAGACATCTGAATTTTGATCACAGGACCAGGGGGATGCTACAAAGGTTGTGACTGTGAAAAGTGGTCCTAAGTCACTTTTTTCAGTGCCGTTGTAACTTTGAACGGTCACTAAATGAACCGTTGTAAGACGGGGACCAGCTGTAGTTAACAATAGTAAGCCACTTCCTTGAGTACGTTATTAGAGCAAGGAGACTCCAGAGATGCAAAGAAACAAAACAAGCAGCAGAGGGCAGTAAAGCTTTCTCAGCACGATTGGGGGGGGAACGGCTGGAGCGTCGTCACCCGGAAGTCGTCTTTCTAGGGGAGGGGCCTCTCCTCTGGAAGCTTCACATTACCATAGATATAAAACTACAGAGTTGACCGAACCACTTGCCTAGTTTCCGGGGCCAGTAGACTGTTTCAATAGATGCTTTTAAAGAGCGGAAATGAGAAATTAATTTCCTTCCTTCCTTCTCCTTCCCTTCCTCAATTTTCTTCCTTTTCTTTTCCTTCTTTCTCTCCTTCCTTCACTCCTTCAATTTTTCCTCTTCTTCTCCTTCCTTCTCTCTCCCTCAATTTTCTTCCCTTTTCTTTCTTTCCTTCCTTCACTCAATTTTGTTCCCTTTCTTTTCCTTTTCTCCTTCCTCCCTTCCTTCTCTCCCTCCCTGCTTCTTCCCTTCCCTTCCTCAATTTTCTTCCCTTTCCTTCCTTCCTTTTCTCTTCCTCCCTGCTTCCTTCCTTCCCTTCAATTTTTTTCCCTTTCCTTCCTTCCTTCTTCTCTCTTCCTCCCTGCTTCCTTCCTTCCCTTCCTCAATTTTCTTCCCTTTCCTTCCTTCCTTCCTTTTCTCTTCCTCCCTTCTTCCTTCCTTCCCTTCTTCATTTTTTTCCCTTTCCTTCCTTCCTTCCTTCTTCTCTCTTCCTTCCTTCCCTTCCTCAATTTTTTCCCCTTCCTTCCTTCTCTTTCTCAATTTTCTTCCCCTTCCTTCCTTCCTTCCTTCCTTCCTTTTCTCTTCCTGCTTCTTTCCTTCCCTTCCTCAATTTTGTTCTTCTTCCTTCCTTTTCTCTTCCTCCCTGCTTCCTTCCTTCCTTTCCTCAATTTTCTTCCCTTTCTTTTCTTTTTCCCTCCCTCCTTTCCTTGTTCTCCTTCCTTTTCCTTTTTTTTTTCTTTTTCCTCTCACCCGGTGAGAAGGAATTTCAGGGAGGCAATGCATGCTTGAGGCAACTCAGAATTGCTTTCCAATTTTTCTCCGAACTTGCCAGCTGGTAGGCTGCCACTGTTCTGAACTGAACACTAGATGGCAGCAAAGAGTTGAGTTTTTCTGTAGCTCTTGGGCGGCCTCTGTTGGTTATTTGACCCCCCCCTCCTCAATTTTATTTGTCCTAAGTGCAAATGGTCGCTAAGCGAGGCAGTTGCTAACTAAAGGCTACTTCAACAACCCAAATGCACTGCTTTTCCGAGTCTGGACTGACTGAATTCAGGGGAGATTCAAAGGCACCCCGTGTTTTAAAAGGGGAGGGGGCAGGAATGTAAAATGCAGTCGTGGAGGCCATTTTGACTTTTCTGCCCCTCTTCCCAATTACAAACCTCCTGATTGCAACAAATGTGCTTGTTAGATGAATGCTACCATTCTGGTTATTCGGGGAGAAAATCTGGGCCTCAAATATTGGACAGAATAAAGAAACAGGAGGTGACGGTTAAATAAAATTAAATTTGTTCATTTGTTCATGCAGACGGGCTGATTATAGCTTGCAGCCCACAAGAGTGTGTTCCTGATTGTAGGCCTCTGCAAACTCACACACCATCACACAAGACGCAAAATCAAACGCACAGCTCCGCTCCCCGTAAAAACGACTTTTTATCCACACCCGCTTCCGTCGTTCACCGGAATCCCCTCCCGATGCAGATTTTTATTTTTCCGTCCCCCAAGAAAAACACGCAGCCTCCAGGAATCGTGGTCGTTCTTTTTTAATGAATATATTTTATTAAATTATTTTTTTTTCCTGCAAGACTTATTTTTTTTTGTTTTTGTTTTTGTTTTTCTCAATCCCAAAGACATGAAATTAGAAATATCCAGTCGAAAAGGCAAACGGAGAAAGAAAGAAAGAAGGAACGGGAAAGGGGAGAGGGGAAAAAGAAAAAAAAAAAAGGGGGGGGAGAACAGGCAGTAGAAAAAATCGTACAGAAGGGTTATTCATGATTATTCGTAGGATTATTTCGTATTATTTTTTTTCCTGTTTTTTTTTATATTATTATTATTATTATTATTTTTTCTTGGCTATACAGACATTCTCGGTATACACGGCACGCAGCAAAAGGGTCAGTCACAACCTCATGCAAAAATTCCAGGAAAGGGTCGAAAAAGAGATTCCTCGGAGGGGGGGGGGAAAGGGACACCATCCTAGACCAAAAGACCTTCAGCACAGCCTCAGCATCACCAGTCCTCGTTCTACGACTCTCGAGAGAGCCTCCTCAATCGTTCCCACGCACCCACCAAACGAAATGAGGGAAGGGGCCAGCTTGGCCCCCAGGCCCTCAGAAGCCCTCGTTTTTTGTTTTTTATTTTTAT